AGCTGTGGTTGGGGATTTCCTGACAAATTTTGGGCGTAATGGATTTATTTGATTTTTATAGAATTTTTTATCAGGAGTTTTGTTCGGCTAAATTTTGAAATTTTTAAATTCCAGCAAAAATGGCCGAACGACACTCCTGATAAAAAATTCTATAAAAATCAAATAAATCCTTTACGCTCAAAATATGACAGGAAATGCCCAACCACAACTCCTGTTAAAAGAGGAACTCAAAATTCCAATTTTAAAAGGTCCATCAAGGAAGATACATTTTGGCACACCCTAATAAACATATCAGAAAATTTTATCATACGTAATAATAATAACAATAATACTTCAATATTTTACGATTCAACACACAATAAAAAATAAGCTCATCAAATTAACCCAAGAAAAATACAACCCATGGGAGTTTACAAAAATAGAGACTTTTTTTCAACAAAAAAATGTTCATCCACTATCACATCAGGCATCTCGCCCCTCATTTGTCGTCTTGAAGTCGACCAGTTAATCTTCCATCCCGTAATCGTATTATTCAGTGTCGATAAGCGATAATCCACCTCGAACTCCCGACATTTAATCTCAATTTTTCTCATTGGTCTTCCCATAACTTACTTCTCGTACATTAACCGTACGCGAGACGTCAAATGTAAGAATTTAAATGTCCCAGAAGACTGAAGATAGATAAGCCCGAAAGAAGTTGAAAATGGACCATCGGGGGTTTTTCATACTTTTTAACTTCCGGAGAAACCGATTAATCATGTCGATAGTCACCGGTCAGTTTCGGTGCATATTTATCCGGTATACATAACTAAAATCCATCGGGTCTGTGCTTCTCTTCCTCTTCTACCCTTAGCTCGACCACCGACTGCCGACTCCCTACAAATGCGTCCAAGCCATTAATCCTGAATAGAAGCAAAACATTGGGCTCTCTACTCACTCGACAGATAAACGAGTGCCGAGGTATCTTAATATGAATACAAAAGCTATTTCGCGTCCGTTATTTATTGCCAGACACTGTCCGGCATAATTCTCCAGCCAAGTGTTCTCCGGCTGGACACCAATGGAATAAGTAGAGCTGTATATAAATATATAAATATAAATATAAATATCGAGATATCTCCATTCATACATAGATATATCTTGAGTAAGTGACGCTTTGATACGCGCGGAAGAACGTCACGCCAAAGTGGACACTGGCGGCGAGCTTTCGGTGGATATGGATGGACGGATGAATGAATATTGCTTGGGCACATATATACATCTACGGTACGGGTGTAATACTCCTGCTTACACGTCAAAGGGACTAAGGACACTGTATTATACATCCTGTCCTGTGTCCTGCAGACACAAGTCTGTGGTTTTCCACGCTTCGACGGCGCGGCTCAAATTAAAGGGATTAACGCTTTGCTTCGCTATCGCATAAAAGTTTATAAACATAATACCTCCTGATAAATCTCAAGTTTGGCGTGTTTTTATTGTAATCCACCAGACACAAGCTTGACCCGAACCCGCCACTCTTCTTTCTTTTTAATACACGCTTTGTTCCTGCACGCCTCTAGCGGTAGTACTAGTCGCGGAATTTATCGAGATTTTAATTGTAAAAAATTTTTTTAAAGAAGTCCTTTCGCTCCAGTTGAGACACAACAACTGTAGTAGTCAATAATATTCGATAAATTAAAATAAAAAACCCATAAAAATTCCTAAAATTAAAAAATAAATAGTATATGAGGCATTAATCGTTGAAATTTTGAAAATTAAAAAAAAAAATAGTTAAATACAAAAATTAATTTGACTCTTGTAAATCAGCTGTTAGTAACCTGTCCGTGATTTGGCAACGCTTTATTTCGGTTGTTTACATTTTTATTTGCACAATATAACCTTAATTATATTTAACTTTTTGCAGTCAATGTAAATAAATAAATTAATTAAAAATGTTTAGTCACAAAACCATAACATTTTAATATCTCATGGCAGGAATGCTAGTATTTTTTTAATTATTATTTTATTTTTCAATTATGAATTATGAAAATTTTTTAACAATAAATTAACTAATAAGTATGTATGGAAAACATAAGCGCGTTAAAGTTTAGTTTGAATTTATTGAATGGTCTGAAGCTCGCGCGCTACACAACGTTGCCAAATGTTCTGACGCCATTTAAATTAAATGTAGGTTACTTAAAAATTTTCTGTAATTTTATAATTATATTTTCTCCGTAAATTTCACGGCAACCTACTTATTTTATTGCAAAAAATCAAACCTGAATATTCCGAAAACCTTATTTTGAGTTTTTTTTTTACTTCATTTAATCGGTGGTTAATGCCATAATTCAAGAAAGTTGTTAAGGTCTGACTTTCTCGTAAGACTCGGAAAAAAATACTAACATTTTTAGAAATTTTTTTTTCAAAAATTTCCATGGTGAAGAATTAATTAAAATTCACTAGTAGATAGGACCTCCTTAAACACTGAAATTTAGATTATTTGCACTGTTTTTAGATTAAAACAAATTTTAATTTTGCTATTACGAGTTTCAGTTGCAAAATTATTAACAAACAATTTATTTTAAGTTTAAATTGTGAAAATTAATTATATTTCTCTACAAAATTTTACTTTAGAACGTTGAATCAAATTGTAAGAAAGATTATTTTGTTTTTAAGTCTTGTTGATAAATCTTAACGCTAAATGATTAAATCAAATATGGTAATTATTGGAATTCTTTAATGAATAAATTATTCTAAAGAAAATTTATACAAAATTACTCTTTAAAAAAATTAAAGAAAAATATTGATGCAATTTTTTAACATATTAAAATTTAGCAAAAAATTTATGAAATAATATCTATCAATATTTTTTATATCCGCGAGAATAAATTAAAAAAAAACTCAAAAAGTTGTTTTACATTAAATAGAAGAAGGTTTACGAGACAGTAGAGTCTGAAGGGGGTGAGCAGAGGGTTAGTTGTGATGTGACGAGCTTTCGCAGAAGATAAACTAATCCCCTTTACCGGCGGCGTTACGTTTTAGGTTGATTGCCAGTGAGTGAACCCTTGCCCGAGTCGTTGGACAGGTCGTCACACTTATCTCTACAGGCGGATTTTCTGCTACCCCGTCACCCCCGGTCCCGCTTTGACACCGGTGACAAAATCGGTGGAAACTAACGGGGTGATTTTCCTAAACTATCGGGGGCGGTACTTGTTAACAATGCTGTTAATTCGCCGCCCGAATCAGCCTCCACTCGTTTCACGCAGCCGGCTGATTAGATTCCCCAAAATTATTCCGAGTATTTGTTTAATCTGATGCTTCGTATCTTTTGAGCGAGAGGGTACGCTAGCACTTTTATTTGAAAATCTGAATAAATATAAATTTTTTTTTCTCTCAGTGCATTTTATAACAATAGCAAATATTAAATTATATTAATTGAACAGAATATACAGAATACATTCACACTTAAACAAGTTAATTCGTTAGAAATCTAAAATTTAATAAAAAAAACTAAATTAAAAAAATCAATAGATTTTTTTCGAATTATCTTATAATTAAGTTTTATGTATCCTCTTTTTTTGGAATTTTATAGGTTTATTATATAAAAAGTTCTATCATCATCAAGAGGATATTGGAAATAGAGGTTCAAAATTTAATTATTTTTAAACGTTTTATAGAAAAATTAAAAATTTTTTGAGTATCCATCTTTTTATCAGTTTTTTATTAATATTTTTAGAACATACAGAAGAGATTAAAAGCAAGAAATTTAAACGTCTTAAAAACCCACGTCCAACATATGGCGTGAGGCAACGTGTCTTTATTCTCTAATCATATGTCAACATAACCTCTTTACATATTTAGCTCTATATTTTTTATTATTACTAAGACACTAACACTTTACACCATTGTTAATAAGTTTCTTTTTACCAATTATACATATATTACAAAAAAATGTTGGGTCTTAACAATTATTTAACTAGTCGCGAGTTTGAAAATTTTTACTTGCGCCTGTTTTCGATTCTACGAGAGATTTTACAAATTTAGAGCGAATTTTATTATTTCGAAGTTGGCACTACTTAACTCTGTTATTCTACCATCTAAATAGCTAGTATACTAAATACTGAACTTAGCGCCCATAAGTAGTTGGTCTTCAGTTTAGAATTTCAATATACGACAGTAGGTGGAGCCACAAAACCATTACCACTGTATTTTAGAAGCACATTGGTCAGTCACGCAAATCATTTAAAGTAAAAATATTGTAATAACTTCGTTTGAAAAAAACGCTAAAGACAGTAAATATTAAGGAAAAAAATTGAATGTACTTGGTGTGCATTATAATTGAATGATGGTGTGCATTATAATCGAATGGTGTGCATTATAAAAATTGATTTCTACAATTTAATTTTCAGCGTTTAATTTAATTATATTAACTTATTAGTAATAATTTCAATCATTTATTTACGAAATAAATTAATTTTTTTTCAGCGCAAGAAAAATTTTGGTAATGGAAATTTTTTTTAAAAAATTAATTGGAGGCTGAAATCAAAATTATTGTGGAAATTTGAATGTTGAAAATTGATATTAAAAGACTTATCCTCACTAGTTTTTTACTTTTTTTTCTGATCGGATTTTTTTTTTTGAAATTTTGAAATCATCTAGCAGATGAATTTATAAAAAGAATTTTTTTTTCAATCAACTTGGACATATTCGGAAAAATGATAAAAAAAATTCATTTTTTAATAACCTAAGTCCTTTTGGCTTTTAACTTTAATACTTTTTGTTGCTAAAACTGAAAAGGCGTACCTAAAAAAAAATGTAATTTTTTGGCCTTAATAACGCTATGGTTTTTTTAAAGCAAATTTAATGCTTTACAATCAAGGTCTCAAAACATTTCTCAATAAATTTACTCTTTCAAATGTTATTTAGAGTTAAAAGATAAATTTCCGATTTTTTTTGCTTCTTATCCGATTTAATTGATCACTTTTTGTAATTTTGATATTTCTATGTATTTGTTTTAGTGCAACAAAGACAGGGATTGCATTTTTCCAGAAAAATGTATATTTTGTTCGAAAAAGACTGGTGGTTTGTGTAGAGGAATATCAAATTATCCTGTTATACCAACGACACCCAAAAGTTGCGTTATACCTGGATTGCATGTATGTAAAATAAACAAAAATTTATGTCAATTTTTTAATTACTTCAGTTAATTATTTATTTAAAAAGTATCAACACGTTATCCTTAATTTTATAATTACAATTTTGTTGCTAGTGCAAGAAAGACGATGATTGCTGTTCCAAAAACTGTCATAGGTATTTCAAAACTCACATAACCTATTGTCTATCTGATGATCCACCTTTATGCAAATTGACCGGTGCGGAAGTGCGTAGAAAAATAATTTACTGATATTTAGTATAATATTTAATATTGACAGGAAGTAAATACAAAAATATTCTGACATTGATTTCAGTGTTCTAGAAATTTAGATTGCTGTTCCAAAAATTGTGACAATTATACGATAGCAACTTCTGTCCGTACCTGCCTTCCAAAAACAAATGGCTTCTCCATCACGACGCCATTAAGTATTGATATTCCGCCATTTTGCATAAAAAGTGGATCGGCTGTACGTAATTTTTTTCTAAGTAATACTAATAACATTTCAAATAAAATTATAAATTTTCTATTCTACAGTGCATATCAAACGATGATTGCTGCTCTGGTTTGTGTTCATCTTCACGTATACAAAACAGTAAATTCCATTTTTGCACGAATTACCTTTAAAATTTTTTTTAGAGAATGTGTTATAATTTATTTATTAAATGGAATAAATATTAATATTAAAAGAGTTTCGTAGATTTGATGAAGCATATTGAAAAGCATATTACTTACAATTTTAAATAGTCAAAATTGCTACTTAGAAATATGTAAAGCTTAACTTTTCAAGGGATAAGGAAGAAAAAGTCACAATCATCCATCAAATTTAACACAATGAAACAGTAAAAATGCTGCACTTAAAATATTTTTTATCTGTCAAACCAAATCAATTATTATTATATGTGTTTTTATCATTGCGTTGTTATTACTGTTTTAAATGGTATTTTTTCTATACAATTATTAAATTGTAGCATTTGAATAATAAATATCATGAATTAACTATTAAAATCACTATTATACAGTTTAAAACAGTATTTGTTGTCAATTTATTATTATTTATTGTAAATCCATTATTATTATTATTATAATTTTTTAATAAAAATAATTCTTTTCTTTTAAAAGTATGATGTAATGATTCCGAAAAAAAATCTCAATGTGTACCGAATTAATAACGAGTATTTAACTTTTCCCACAAATGTATCGATTGTCAATGGCAGATTCTCGTCAATCTCTTTTAGATATTTTCTCATGAATAATATAACTGAGTGAATTACAAACGTACGTGTTTGATCGTGTTTTCGGGATGGTTAGAAGCTAGTACTCTCATTTATCTGTACATATAATATAAATAATGGTGTACGGAGAGTTCAGTGTCTGTGTACCGAGTGTGTATACCGAGTACCGATTTAGATGCCCGAGGCTTTTCCGACGTGGTTCTGTGTGTACGCGCGAGTGGACTAGCGTAGTTTGCCCGTCGGCCAGCAGTCTGCTTCTGTCACCAGTACTCCAGTTAATTGCCATTTCCGCGCTTGAATAATTTAATAAACTTCGGATAGGAGAGGAGTAGAGGATATGTTTGCAATGAGTGTGATTACTCAGAGCGATATGACAAATGCATCGGCTATCGGCCTTTTATCTGACCCTATTTTTTTGAGTCAACATCAATTCAATGTCTATTAGACGGTTTTCAATTCAATTTTTCCAGAAAGAAGGATAAAATTTTGGTTGATTAATCATGTTACGGAATAGTTGCTCGGTTTATGTCAGCTAATGTGGGCGAAAGATGAGGTAATGAGCCGAAAGAACGACGTAGTGAGAAAAAATAGTGTCATTGATTAATCGTCAACGACAATCATATAAATGTAGACACTCTTTGTCTCTTAAACCGCAACAATTGCCGCAATCTGGTAGGGAACTAGTTGATGTAAGTCTTCAATGTATATTAATCTTCTTGGAACTGTCCTAAGTTCTTTTATTTGGAACCATTAATGTGAATAAGTGTGAAAGTAAAAATATTATTGGGCTGGGGTCATATTTCTAATGATAATGATTATTACGCTTTTATGCTTCCCACTTTCGAGTCATTTGATTTTTACGCAGTTACATTTTAATTCATCTTAATTATTTACTCACGGAAAAAACAAATTATAGGTAAAAATTACAGAAATAGTTAGCTTATAATATTCGAGGAATAAGTACTTTAATTCTAATTTATTTCATAAAACGTCATGATTTTTATTAAATACATACAATTATTTTCGCGCTGTGAATATAATACCAAGACAGCATTGCTTGATCTAAATTTTCAAATTTTGGCCTCTTCAACTTTTTAAGAAACTTTCCATCAATTTTTGCCTGAAAAATTTTTTCTTCATTGAAGGTTTAAAAGTAACTAAGACTGTAAGAATGTAAACGAGAAGCAAATAAATCAAATTTCATTATGTGTGTATAATAATATACATTTGCTTTGATAATTACAATACTCAGTCTATAATATATCCGAGAAATATTTATGGTTTTAAGGCAATTACTGTATTTAAAGTTAAGCGGATTATTTCGTTACAAAGAGTGTCTGTGACGCTATATAGAGAGTTTATTTTAAGTATAGGAATAATGATGTAAACCAAACAAACTTTGGTATTTTCTATACAAAATATCGAGTTTTTCGTTAAATAGAGTTTCCACTGTTAAAATGTGTAAATTTACTGTAAAAATGAAAAATAAAATTTTTTTTAGATAAAAAAAAAATTTTAAAGCCAAAAGGGCACACAAAAAAAAAATTTTTTTTTTTTCATTTTTTTTTACTTAAGCAAAAAGAAAAATTGAATATTTTTGCATTTTTCATACTATACCCTCCGGCAAAAGGAAATTCAGTATAAGTATAACTTTACTTAAAACTCCTGTCCGTAGTTAAAAAAATACATCTGTTTTTATTCAACCATTTAGAGTTTACAAAGTCGTAGCTCGTTATTTATTTTATCCATTACCGCTAAAACGTTTTCTCATGTTTCAAAATATTTAAACTTGTATTTTCCATTCTTCCTCTCGACATTCATCCCCAGCACAAAATACACATACATAAGTCGAACGATATCTAGCAAATTTCCACGATTCAACGCCTGAGGGTTTGACTTTTCTCTGACCCTCTTTCATATTTTTAAAAATATAATTTCATAAAAATTTCAAAAATCCCTTGATTTATTTATTTAATAATTTAGTTCTGCGTTAAGAGTAAAATCCCGCGAAAATTAAATACTTAAAAATAAAATATTGCAATAATAATTTAACATTTTTGTTTACAAACAAAAAAAAATGCCTAGTTATGATTGTCATTATTCATCATTACTTTGTTTTCAGGCCGTACGCGTAACCGGGGAAAAATATCAAGCCATTATGAATAAATGATGATGAGAAATATTTCATGGGCAATCGGCGACAGCAATAGATGCTATTTTGTGAACCCACTATGTACTGAGTAATTAATCATTCATACGAGCATACACACACTCACATATGAATAAAAATTCTCGTTATTTAGCATTTATTTTATTTTATTTAAAATCCTAAAATATTTGAATTTACTTTTCCAGTTTAATCCACGGTAAAATGAAACCGTCATTATTATATACACGCGTATTTATTTCAATAAACAAGAGCATGTATGTTTTTTTAGTACATAAAAAAATAGAAAAAAGTCTATAGGTTGCAGGATAAAGCCAGCTTTATAGCAAACGCGGATTTGAGAAAAAAATTTGGACGCACCGTAAATCCTATTTCCGATAACGATGATTCGATAGACCCCTCACGGCTTTGGTCAGACTCTCCGAACTCCAATTGGGTTATCATAATATTTTTCCGATTACCGATACATAGATGATATAGTTATAGTTATAGAAATGGAATATATCGCTTCTGGATTTATATCACGTGCTGAACGGTGACCAATAAATCGAATAATCGTGTAGGGGTAATTGGAATCCAGTGTCATTATAATAAAATGAATCACAATATTTTTGGTTCAATGCTTAAATTCTTCTTTTTATTATTATTAGTTTTTTGTAATTACACTAGAAAAAATTTACAGAATAAATAATTTTTAATAAATTTGAAATTCACTCCGAGAAGGATTTTATTTGTATTATTAATAAAAAAAACTCCGCAAAGTAAATTATTTTTATTTTTTGTTAAATGAAAATAAAAAAATTGTTATTTGTTTAAAAATTACAAAATGTGAATTAATAGGTTTTCAAAATGTAGAACTTTTTTCTTAAAGAAAAATTGCATTAATATTTTCTTTTAATTTCTAGTAGCATTTTTTGATAATTTTTCTCTATTATAAATTATTTGTTAAGAAATCCTAAAAATTGCCATATAAAAATAAATTTCAGTAACATTAAAGTAATTGAGTTTATTAAATTAAACGTAGTAATGTTAGTAATTTATTATTTTTTTATTTTTACGTTAAGATTTATCTAAAAAAATTTAAACACAAAATAATCTTTATGAAAATTTGCTTCAATGTTCCAAAGTCAAATTTTTAAGAAAAATATAATCGATATTTATAAACTTAAGTTCTAGATAAATAGTTTAAAGTATTTGTTTCGTATATTCACTCCGAATTTATCTCGGATTTTTTATAACTCATCAAAGTTTTAATCCATTAAAAATAGCATTGATATGTTAGAAAAAATTTCGACATACATTTATAAAAAAGTTAGTGTTAGCTATCAGCAGTAATTAAATTTATTTATGGCTAGTAAAAAGTCAAGGTTGATAGATTAGAGAATTTTTTTATTTAACACAAAAATTCATTATGTAACATAGTCATAACTTTTGGTCCATGATAATACCATTGGTGCACATACCGGTTGGGGTGTCACTGATGTACAATCGGCAATCTAATGAGCAGCAGTCCTTATTCCTTAAGCACTGAAATAACAAAAATTAGTAATATTTCTTTTTTCTTTTTCTTTTAATTTAAGAATAGCTTTTATTACTTACCCTTCCATTGCCATGAGTGCAGACGTGACCATTTGCAAAATGAACTAAATAAATTATCAAAATAATGAAAATTGCAATTTTTGTTAAAGTTACAAATATTTTTTCCATCGCTAGATTCTTTACAAAATTTTATTAAGTCTGGAATTTCACGATAGTAGAAATAAAAAATTTCCAAGCAATGATGGATTTACTAGCTAGTAGAAGTTATTATATGATATACTCCCTGCTCTTTATCAGATTCGATATGTTCCTACTACAAATAACTCAACCAATAATTAAAGTTTTAAAAAAAATGAGTCGTAGTTTTGGCAGTAAAAAATGTTTTTTTTTTTTATTTTTTTAGGAAAAACTTTCGGTACAAAAAGAAAAATTTTATGTATAATTATAATTATATCTTTTAAGAAATATATATTTATTTACACAGAAATAATAAATTTTTGAGCAGAGAAAAAATTTTTTTGTCAAAAAAAAAAAAATTATTAAAAC